CTGGAGTTGAACTGGTATCTTGTGATCTGACCTGTGGAGTGTTAACCACTACACTATGGACCCACAGGTCTAAAAATAATTATATTAAATATAATATAAAATAAAAGCATATAAGAAAAATTTATTGGAACAAGTATCATATTATTTTTTAAATTTAATTTCTGAAAATTTCAATAAATTTGTAATTATTTTTGAATAATCATTTGAATTTTTTAAATTGAATAATATACAAGTTTTATATTTTTAAAACTTTTTATATCTTCATTTTTATAAATATCATCATATACTGTATGTAAATAAACAATAATTCTATTAAATTTTTAATAGAAAATAATAAATTTTTAGAAATATTATTCTTTTCAAGTTTGTTAATTATTATAATTAATTGAATTATTTCTTGAAGTTGATTAATTATTATTAAATCAGATTTATAAAATAAAAAATTATTTTGATGAAATAAATAATATATTTAATAGAATATTGATAAGTATTGTAGCTATATGATATATTTTATTATTAAATATTATAGTTAAATTTTTATTTGATGGCAATCATTATAATTATTAATATTAAGAGTAAATATATTATTTAATTTTTTTTTAAAATATTGATTTATATTATTTATATAATTTTTTTTCAAATTTATCATATTAAATATAATTTTAAATAACTTGTTATATATTCAAAATATAATAATAAATTAATAGCTTTTGTTGAAAGTCTTAATTTTAATATAAAATTACCAATTGAATTTTTTAAATATGTAATTTTTTTTGTTTTTTAGTCTAACTAAATGATAACATAATATTATTGTTTTAATTTTAAGTTTTTTAAAAATTTTTGTTTTAAATTTTTAGATTTAAGTGAATTTTAAATCATTAAATAAAATAATTTAAATGTAGAATAATTACTTTGTTATAACATATTAAAAAATTTATCTGGATTTATATGTGATAATTTTATTTCAATATATTGTTGTTTATAAAATAAATTAATTAAATATGTATTATTGTTAACAAAATATTCAGAAAATAATTTTGTCATTGAATTAGTTGAAATTCATTTGATTTTTCATTTAAATGAAATTTTTTTTTTAATATTTATATTTAATATTTATAATTTTATTGTTATGATTATATTTTTCAAATTTCAAATTTCATTATTGTAATTATTTTTTATATTATTAATTTCAATAATATAAGTATTTTTAAAATTATTTATTTCAGTATTATAATAAATTTGAAATTATTAATTTCAGTATTATAATACTTATTTTAATTTTCAAATTGAATATCATAATCAAATTTGATTTTTTCAATTTCAGTATGTTTGTGGTTTTATAAAATTTTAATTTCATTATAATGTTCATTTTGTAAAATTGAAATTCTGACATTGTGAATATTTTTTAAGTTTTCAAGATCTTTTTCCAATTGTATAACATCTTTTGAATGTTGAATAAAATTATTATATAGTTGTAAATCAATAGAAATATAAGAGGTTGATTGTTGTGAATTCATTTTTTCTAAAAAAAAGTATATTTAATAAAAAAAGTATATTTATCTTTGCTGACAATATAATTTTAAGTGGATCAGCTTAGTTAACTCTAAAAAAAAAGGGATTAAAGAAAAAAAAATAAACCAATCTTATTTAAATAGTTTTATTTATTTATTTTGTTTTATATAAACTTTATTATTAATTTATTTTGCTATCTAAATTTCATTGTTTAATCTTATTTATTACCTAATTTTATTATAAAAATATATTTTGTTATCTAAATTCTATTGTTTAATTTAAATTTAATAACTTTTTATTTATTTTATTATCTAATTATATTCATTTTATTACCTAAATTTGATATAAATTCGTAAATGAAACTCCGAAATCAGATCCTTCGCTTCTATAATCAAATATTATTTTATATGACAATCAATATGTAACCAAATTACTGAATTATCAGAAACTTTCGAATTCAAATTGATTTCTTCTTTTTTTAACTTTATAGATATTTTAATGTCTTGTCTTGTAGCTTCCTTATATTGTTTAGCCATGTGTTAAACATGGCAAGAGATGGTAATTTGCAAGGTACAGTTTCTGTTTTTTCAAATCTTCAGTTTTACTGTAATGACCAATCACATAACATTCTTATTTTCATTTAACTTGACCGATATTGCATATTTAGATTACACTTTTCGTGACGCCTATATGGAATACCATTATAGTTTCCCAAGAAATTATATTATAAGTAATGTGGGCAGGCTTATGTTCGCAAATTACAAATATTATCACATAAAACTGTGTCAAATAGAAATAGCTATTGTTGTCGTCATCAGCGAGTCTGTCGCTAAAACGGCTTACTCTTCGCGTGACGATAATCTGAGGATTTTTGCACTAAATAAGGAAAGGCTTTAACTTCGAGGTGGATTAAGATTTGACCGACTTTCGCGCACTTGCTAATCTTTTCTTGACCATCTTTCCCTAGGCGCGTCTCAAGATTACAAGTGTCACTCTTCATGGTGCACAAAGGTAACGTTACGTCACTCTCACTCTTAAAATCGTTTACTTTACTGTAGTGGCGTAGACTTAGTTTATACTTTAAAGAATGTAAATTGATTTTGTAAAGTTATAGCATTTATTTAATAAAGTGGGCGAAAGTAAAGAGTGTTATCAACTCTAAATTCAAAGCTCCAAGCTAAACTCTATCCCCTTCACCAACTACATAAAACTATCCTCTTTGTTGGACAAATTGGAAAATGGTGGAAGAAACTGAATAGAAATCCAACGAAAAGAAAACAGGAACAAGCAAGTCTTTGGGTTCACCGGGTGACAAAATCAAGAGGAAAGATACTACTCTTAGCAGAGAAAGTAAACCACCAAGAAATAACAGTAGCAGTAGTGATCAAAATGTTAAAGTTGGGAACAAGGAAAGTTCAAATATTAATAATAAATCGGACGATAAGGACATTGTAAATTTCGTATCACCAACACCATTAACTAGTAGTAATGAATCTGTATCCATTCCTCCGATCAATAAAAAACATGTCTTATCCACCGCCTTCATCAAATTCAGTCTCGCCGAGATCTCGCCCAGTACTACAGAATTCAAGCAGTGAGCCCATTTCATCTCATCCCAATGACGCGTCTTTATCATCCTCACCCTTCAAATCTCTTGATGTTGAAATCGTAAGCCAAGAAATGCAGAGTCTAATTCCTTGGTGAAAGATCGAAGAATGAGTAGTGGTGACATAATATCAACAAGCACAAGCCGTGCAAATTCAATGGTCAATAGTAAAATAATTAATTCAAATATCACGATACCGTTATCCACACCGACAACTGCCATCTCGTTACCACAAGGTAGCGAATCATCACCAAAAATAGCTGTTCTTAAAAGAGGAAATAAATTCTCCTCGTCGTTAAACAATAGCTGAAATGAAGATGAAAACAATTTTGAGTCAAATGTCAATTTTAACGGCGAAAGTTGAAGCGTCCATCTTATTACATGCTATTACCAATTATTACATCATTACACCAATGTTACTATTATTACGCGACGCGCCTCAATGTCGCGTTCCCATCCACAACTGGCAATAGGTGTGATAGAAAAAAAGAACAATATCATGATATTAATTATCTAAAATCATAGACAATTATAGAATATTCTCTGACGAAGGATGATTACAAACTTATAAAATCAAGCAGTAAACTATAAGGCTTGGGAATGGAAGTTCATAAAACTTACGATTTCCGAATTTTTTATATGCCAGTAAAATAATCCGAAAATATATAATTATTACAGTACGGAAATTTCACTCGAAAATAATGCAAATGCTGCTGCATGTATGCTGCACAAGCATGTAAAAATGCCATACGGAGAGCTGCCACCCTGTCACTTATTTTGGGTAAAAAATCTCTGCTTACAGTACTACTGTACATTACTGTATTTTAGTTTCGTATTTTGAATAAATTACTTTCAAAATGTCATAAAATTTACAATCGAAAAATGGACTGGTTGAAGAACTATAAAACTTTAAACGAACCCAACTTTAAATAAGTGACTTTGAGGGTATTGAAACGATGGGAAGTACTGTAGTGGCTTTGAAAAGTATATAAAAAAAAACAAAAGAATGAAAAAAAGTAATGGTGATACTAGATAAATAAAATGAGAGCTATTATTAAAATGTCGACTCTTAAAAAACTAAAATCCGAATTTGAGTTTATAGAAATAATATAATTTCCATTAAGCATTTTTCATTGTTTTTTACTATTTGATTTAACTTTCAAGATCTTAAATTTGGAATCTAAAAAAACATTGGATCATTATTGATTAGTAGTTTAACTTTATGAAGCAAAATTGGTAAGGTTGATACTTGCCGTGATCAGATTTTGTCTGGATTGTTGAAACCGGAAGGTTGTTAAAGTCTAGAAGTCGACTCGTATATATTGCAGATGGATGTGTTTCACATGTTGCATTAATACTCAAATAATCCTGCCTAACATTTTCATTTTCATTGATTTGTTTTGTAAGTTCGGAATTTGATCTACGCATACACCATAAAAATAATATATTACATAAATCACGTGCTCTTAAACGATTCTGCGGCACAGCATCCCAACAATTTTCTATCAGCTCAGTTACTATTCTAGGCATAT